TTGATAGTGTTGAGTGAATCACGACTGTTCATGATTCTACTTGTTTCATATCCAGTGTTTCATATGTTGGAATGAGGCACGTGCTTTCCGCGATTCGCGCGACGGATCGCGTACTCTGACATCAGCGAGTGACATGTGCCCTGAAAAAAGATGTACGGACATGGCATGTGTCCTGAAAAACTGAGGTGCAACTATACAAGCACCCCTACGAAAGCTAGTTTCATGAATGTGTTTCAGTCTAATCTAGTACTAGGTGCAACAGAAGGAGAAATTGACGATCCTCTTAGGCCATTTGAAAGCAATTGATGGTTGGACCAAAATTTGTAAGTAAAATCCGACTTTGGAAACTAGGGGTCTTTCCTGGTCTGAATTGACATCCTTTGACATCCTATGAGCGTCAAATCTTTAGAACAACGGACTACCCTCTTAGCGAACTTTCGACAGAATTTTGAGACTCTGGGGTTGCAATGAGTTGAATATTGCCGGAAACTTCTCTCCAAGAATATCTCTCTTTTTCTCTTTCAGCCGCGAATCGGAGCAGCGCAGACGAACAACTTCTTCGCCGAATCACCATTTTCGGATTCGCCGCTCTGTCGCAAGTTTCCCAACCGGTAGGCAAAAGAGTTTACATTGCAATATGCCTCTAATAGGGGAGGAGGGGGGGGCGTTTGGCCCCCAGGGCCTCTAAGACTAAGCCACGGAAAAGATGAACTCCGGAGAGGATAAAAATTGGTTACGCAACCCAGAGTACCTCTTCTCACACAAGCTTAGCCCTGAAGCTGAACGTTTTCGTAACTTTCAATGCAATTACGAGCTCCCCCTTTCGCCCGGCTCGATAAAATAAATTCTCCCGACAATTTAGAGAATTTCTGTTTGCTATTCAAGAAATCGCTATTGTTCCAACTCTCAATCATCGAAATCGAGTCACAGCAGTCAAAACTGCCTCAAGATCATCGAGAAACGGTACAGATTCAACAAATCGTCATGAAGTAACCAGAAAGCAGGAGCTAATCAACTTAAGTGGTTCAATTTTCGCATAGAAAATTGTGCGCCCCAGAACAGAAACGCGTCGCAGCCGCGCGCGCTTTGACAGCAATACCAATGCTGCGAGCGAGCTTTTCCAAGCTGTTGATGAAGCGCTGCTGTCCTAAACGGCCTATACCAGGCGAAGTTCTCTCTTTTACGAATCCCATTTCAAAAGTTTTTCGCATGTATTGCATGTTCTCATCCTGACCCGAAATGTCCAGGTCATGTTTTCATGCCGCTAATAGGGTTGAGTTTTTGGTCGTTTATGCGGCGATTGCTAGAAGGCGGCATGTTTTTTGTTGTCGGCGAATTGTCCGAATTTGAATTTGCTGGTAGTCGGTGCTCATTTGGCGGTGAGATGAAAGACTGGCGCGGTCGACCGACGCCGACCGCCAACCCGCCGACATCGCAGATGCGCACTTCACCACTGTTGTTTTCTGGTGCTGTCACCCTTCACGGGTACTTTTTCACGAATCATATGTTTATCACCAGCTTTTTTGTCATGTCTTTCTATGAGCTCATTGGTTTCTGGGTATTGCTTGAATCGATGAAATCCCCGGCAAGTTTGTGGGCCGTGAAATTACGGAGACGCGCACCAAATGAAGGAACATTTGTGGTACCCACTTAACCTTTTCTTCTTTTTCGTCATGCTGTTGCGTTAACACTCGGTTCTTATAGAGAACTTATGATTTCGATGAACTTTTACTCGCTGCAAGACTTTTGAATGCTCCGTAGTACACAAAGCCTGTCCTCAGTCTTACACATTTGCGACTTATCGGATTTCCTCCTTCTGTCAACACGAGATCCGGATGAACATTTCACAATACATTTTATTTTCCATTAGGAATTGCAATCGCGTAATAACTTCGTTCTAAATCGCAAACCTATTTGGGTCGGTGTCTTGGAGTAACAATCTGGTACTTGTGGACTCCTACATCGTCAGCAGGCGGTGAAACCTCCCCCTCCCTAGTGACACCTTCTGTACCAGTTTTTTCTTCACACAACGGGATCCCGTCTACCTACCAGATCTGTCCTTGGTTGTTTCTTCGCTATTCTTCGACTGAAACTTTATTGTAACCCGACTCTTTTTATGAACTGCTTCTTCAACATGCACTTTTCTTTGAAATCACGTGTTCGTTCATTTTAGTGAAAGTATAGGATTTTATTTGATTTATTTCTATTTCTTTTAACTATGATGTCGTGACCTTACACAATGAGGAAATCATAGAGTTGATAATGTACGATGCAACCCAAGCAGCGAGAAAAAATTCAATTTCGGACAGAACAGTAGGCAATTTTCTCAGTGAAATTGCGGATGACTCATACATTTTAACCATTTCCAATGGAGGTTTCTTATATTCATTTTCTGACAGCAGTTCAGGAATTGAAAAGAATTTTATTTGCTATGAAACGCAGAAACTCTGGCCTGGTTTTGTAAAGGAGAACAAAAACTACATATCTACAATTACAATCCTATGTATTATTGCATACACATATTGCAGAATTGTATCACAGGCTAAGTTGTACAAATCACAGGACCGTAGTGCATATGTTCTCAAAGTGAACCATTGTCATTGTGACTATAACCCGGATAGTGAAGCGAATTGAGTATCATTAAAATTTGCAATCTGAGGAGTTACCCGGTGACCACAAAGGCGATGCATAGCCTTGGTTCATAAACCAGGCTTGTAGGTGAAGAACCGCTAGGTTGGCATCGATCGCGTCAGCGGTCGAGGGCGACTGCTTTGAGAGAGCGACGTTATCTGGAACGTCCATTAATGGCGTAGATTTATACTTGAGGCTGATTCCATAGCGTTTCTTGAAGTTGTGGAGCCAGTGTTCGGAGAAGAGACATCGTGAAGACTTCACGGCTTCTTCCAGAATTCCAGGGCAGAGCTCTGCCGCCAAATCTCGTGCCTGATCTTGAAGCCAACGATTCGAAATTCGTTCTCCGGTCTTCTGCTTCTCCAAGAGACGTTCATACAGTACTCGCTCAACATCTGGAAATTGCACTTTTCGTCCACGTCTTCCTGCTTCGACTTGAACACCCTTTTTGCATAACCAAGGGAATTTCTCATAGAATGCCTGAATAGGAAGCTGTCCAGGTTGGTTTACAATCTCAGCGACGACCTCATTGCGTATCTCAACGTCCTGCTCAGTGGAATCGTTGAATGAATCAGTTTCAGCGTCCGAGTAAGCGTGTTTATCGCTTGACGTGGAATGAATCGAGTGCGAATCTGTGGAAGAGTCACTTTCGCGTTGAAGATTTATGTGAAAGCGTTTCTTGAAGTTGCTCAGCCATCGCTCCGAGAATTGGCATGCTACGTTGACATCCCCAGCCAGCTCGCGAGCTCTCTCCCTCAACCAGCGGTTGCCTACTTTGCTACCGTTTTCTACACGTTGACAATACAATGCGAATAATTGCTTTTCAATGTCGGGAAACTGGGGCCTTCGTCCACTTCTGCCTGATTTCAGCGACCCTGGTCTTGACTCGCGTATCTTCTCAATCTGAAACACTTGTTTTGAAGCAACATTAACCATGATAAATGAGAAGATTTGTTTCCTGATTATGCAAAAAGAACTATTTGAATGGCTCATATAGTTCTAAAAATCGCTTTGAACATAAACTATTTTTGACTGGTCAGGATGGATGTGATCACATTTCATGCATTGTTCTCTAAAACCGTTTTTAGCGCTTCTACACTTTATTTTCTGGTCTTATGATGATTTTCTATTTAGTTCCTTTACAAATACCTTTATTGCCTAAAGATTCAACTGAAGTGAGTTCTGTTCAGGATCTGTAAGGGCGTATTTATTGGTTTGAAAAGAATCGCCATTTTTCTACCCCAAAACAGATCATCGTTCTACGTTTCCCCAGAAATGTTAATCCTCACCAGATCTTTCAATGAGAAAACTCGCGACAAAATTGATGTCATGAAAGAGAAAGATTTGTGGTGAAGAGGGTAGGCGAGAGTCTAACATAAGTAGACGATGTATGACTCTCCCTTTCCCTCCCTAGCTTTCCCGGTAGAAAACGCCCTTTCAACCAAGTTATAAGGGAAAAATTATCTAAGGGAATCCTGTCACACTGCAGCCCAGAGCTGTTGCGTAATTTCCTTCTCAGGAGTGCTCTTCTTAAGCCACATCACCTTGAGATATTAATTTCAGCTTTCGCGTATCTTATGTTCTTATCTTTAGCTCATCGTCCATCGTTTCATACAAACGCTCAATAAATTTGTTCTGCACCCTTTGACGGAAAACGCCGAGTGATAAAAGCGGTTAGAGAGCAGTACGCTGAAGAAGGTTATAGGTGTGATTCTTCCTCTCACAAGATGCATTTCACATAGTTTAAAGAGTGCTTTACGATGCTATTTTTTTGCATTTTTAGCGAATATTAGCCGATAAATTTGTAACGACAAGTGAATAACCATACCTTCGATAGCCATCCATTCAGCATAGACTTGGTGATTTGAAATTCCTTACAAGTGCGGTACTTGTTTTGACCGTTCCTTTGGTAGTAGTCGATGACCATCAGCTTGAATTCTCTAGGATACGACATTCTGTTGCTGCCAGCAGATGCAGCGAGCTTGAGTGCAATCCACTCGGCGTTCATTTTTCCATCAATGCGAGTCGGCAAAAGAGGCTGCGAGTCACTGCTTGTCCTCTGAGATTGGCCGCCATCATGTATGACAGTTTGGCGATTTTGAGCAGATAGATCAAGAGGGAGCTCCTCCTTAAGTGGAAGTGCGGTAAGGCGAAGAGGAGTAGGTCTGATTAAATTTCGCGGAGTTGATATTGAGTTCAGACTAGAATGTAGATTAGGTTGGTCGGAGGATTGACTGGTACTGGCGTTGTAGAGTGTCTCGTAAGCTGTGATAAGTTGTGCTGCAGCATGCTCGAGGGAGCGAAAGTTGAGGGGGTACATGCGTTGGCAGCGGGGAAAGTGAGAATGCAGGCGGCTCTCGCTCCTTCGCGAGCCCAAAACCGCAGTGAAAGGTCGCGCGGTTCGCGATTTCTCACGTCAAGGTCATCTTCTCCTCGCCGAGATCGGTTTCTCCTGGAAATAGCCGAATTTGCTGTTCCGGTATTGCCTAGGCTAATGCCAGTTTCTTAAAATTTACTGGTGCTTTTGTGCCGTTGATAGCTAAATTTTCCTAGCTTTTGCGTATGTTTATGGCCTTCCTCATTACTTTATTACTGAAGAAAATTTCATGAAAGCTACTCAAAAGTGTTCTAGGGCCCTAGTCGTTACAATGAGTGACGACGATCTCGACGACAACACCGTAGGGCAGTTACCATCTTCTTCAGCAGCGCACGCATACTATGATGGAGAGGTTGGTAATTCCCTTTTAAGCACATTTAGGGGGATAAATTGCAAGCTTCAAGGTCGTTGATGTGGAACTGTCAATTGCTGGCCTGTTATCCTCACTACATCTGGAAGAAGTGCGGCATCGACGAACAAGCGATGAGGACGATGACTTACTTCGAATTACGCATCAACGAATCCACGCTGTGATAATGCAAGACCAAGACGATGCAAGGTAATTTGCACTTTCGCCGTTTAGTCCATTTTTTGTTTTTAAATCTTTATTGAATTATCACTCTGTATTCATTGGTGTCAAATACGCGATAAGAGATTTCTGTGCACTTTTTCGTTCACCCTTCATATGCCCCTGTGAATAAGCCCATTCAGTAATTATGAGCGTCCTTCGGCGTGAAGGTGAATGAAATAAAATGACTGTTTGGAGGCCACATCATGAAATACAAAAACTCTTAAGACCCATTGGCCGGCGTCTTGCCCCGAAGCCTCTCTTTCTGAACTGTCAATCATCTGTGAAATTCCCAATAGAGTTCGCGAAGATATTCAATGACTTTTTTTTAGAAGGCGGCGTTTGCGAAGGGCATTGCCACCGTCGAACTGCGTGCGCGAACAGGTGGGTGTATTTATGAGTAATCGTCCGAAAATGGATCTGGAATGCATAGTAATATTTGTAGGATTTTCAATTATTCATTTAGATATTCTACTTGCGTCGACTTCCTCATAACTCGGTGCCAGCACCATCGTATTACCCAAGATTGTTCAGTGCCCTTGACTGTATCGTTAAGGAATCGTTTGATGAAGAATATCGAAAAGTAGCTATTATTTTGGGTTAGTGTGACCACTTCTCGATAATATTATTCCTCATTGTTCCACATGTCACTGTGTATTCCAGGTCTTGTTGAAAGTTTGGCCGAGCTGCTGGTTCTGGAGCTGACAGTGTTCGATTTTCCAACTCGAAACGAGCATCGTTCGCTCCGGAAACTGATTGCCAATGCCCTCACCAATCTGACATATGGCCATGCGGCGAGCAAGCGCCGTCTCTGTTTCTATTCTGGTTTCATCCCGACAGTCGTGAGAATTCTGAACGAAGCAAGGAATCTTGCGCAGGTTTGTTTTTCTATCGTTTGATGGTTTTACTCGCGCGACTCTTCGATTTCAAGATCTTTTCTTTGAACCTCTCAGTTGTTTGCATCAGACAGCGAGAAAATGGGTCATGGCCGGCCATCGGCAGTCTTTCGCATTTCCTATTCTATAATTTAGCTATCGTATGCTATTCAAGGTTATGCGCTAAAGGCGTTCCTTTCCTTGTCGTCGCCATCGTTTGCTAATGTTGTTGTTTACAATTTGACGAAAGAAAAAACGCGGAAATGATCTCTCTACGCATAGCAGTAGTTTCACGAAGAGCTGCTAGAAGTGCGTTAACAATTGGAGATGGTGTAAGTGGCCTCATGGGGACATTATCAGACTTGCGGAATGCGGTGTTAGGCGATGCCAGCCGTGTTGTGAGCGAATGGCCAAGGCGTGGTTTCCAGCTGTTATGGCGCGGCATTGTCAATGAGCGCGGATGACTGCAATGTTACACTTAACTGAATTATCCGCGCTCAATCATTGGCTTGCCTGGAGGAGGTTTCGGTGTCAATACTTGAAACAAGCAATAAGTAAACGTCGAAGATTAAATCTAGGTCCTTATATCATCTATATAGCCTAATCCTCCTTCGTAAGTGCCTGTGGAGGAAATCCAAGCTACAAGGGAGGTCTTTCAGGGTGTGCCAAGCTTTTTCAAAACGGTCTTTTGCATGATATAGGGGCACATGCGGGAACCACAGAACCATGGTTAATTTTTCCTGAACGGCCCTCTGAATACCAGAAAAGGGGGTCCCTAGTCACACCTTTTTCACCAGTTTTTCAATCAAAGTCTATTTGTAAGGGTTACTGACGGTCCTAATCATGAATATGGTACTAATTATTCATGCTAACTCCATTTTGCGCGAATTTTGGAACGTCGAAATGCAAAAATTTGTCACCATGAGGAATCGAACTAGGGACCTCCTTTTCTGGTATTCAGAGGGCCGTTCAGGAAAAATAGCAATGCAAGAAACTATTTCGAAAAAGCTTGGCACACCCTGAGTTCAGAAATTCAAGCACCTTGACTTTTGAAAATAGAACTGTTTTGAACGACTCAGCTGGATCAAAAGTCCAAATATTCCCGTCGCCAGATCGATCTAATCATTTATAGAAATGAATAAGATACAAAATAGATACAGAATTTGCGTCGAAAGGTGACCAGACTGCATAAATCCATTGTAAACAAGGTCTGTAAAATGAAAGGTACGACTCGACTCATTAGACGTTAGCATTAATTCAAGGTCAGACGTTTCGAGACGATTCGAACGCTGATATCGTAGAAACGACGTCAAGACCATGGAAGCTTCAATTCCTGATCACGTGAAATTAGGTGCGTAATGGTTGTGGTTTAGGTTTATTACTCAAGTTCTGCGCTTAGAAGCGCACTATATTTTCTGACGCGAGTCGATAAAAGTTTTAGTGTGGAAACATCACACAGATGTTGTTTAGAGTGAATTAGGAAAATCCTGAGGATTGGCAACTCATTGTGATGAGAAACACCTGTGCAGATGGTTTCGGTCTAGGCCATACCGTATAAAGAACGCGCAGAAAGAGGCATTTCTTGGCTAGTGCCGGTGCCTATTGCAGCACCCACCGAGGCAATTTGATGTGTGTGGTCACGCTGTCGTATTCTTAAGAATTCCGGCGTACGCAAAATGTTCGAATCAATTTGCTTTCCTTTTGCTTTAGGAGTGTTGAGGATCATTTCTCGTGCACAGACAAAACGAGCATTTTTTTCCGTGGCAGTGAAAAGGAGAAGGATAGGAAGGGGTTTTCGAGATCTGCTTCTGTTCCTGCCTTAAGGCTACGTCGGGCGGTAGGGAGGATTGAGACAGATACGCCTTACGTTCGCAGCAAATGCGGAGCGCCGCCAGCGCTTGCCTCTGCCGCTGCCGAGGTCGGCATCCTAACGACATCCGGTGAAAGGAGTTCATTTCCTAAACTTTCGAATACGGAGATTATTCTACTATTATAAAACACCGTTATTGTGAAAAAACAAGGTGAAATTCTGAGTATCGGTGAGTTCCTTTTAGAGTGCAGTACAGAGTGAGACGCATCGATTGAAATTTGCACCCAATACCCCCCCCCCTTTGATGGGTCGATTACATATGGCAAAGCCTAGAGAACCATTGAGCACGCGGGCACACTTCAACTCTTAAAACTCATAAGTAGGAGTTGGGCGTCTGCTGAGAGAATATTGCTAATTGCATATAGTAGATGCGTGATTGAGGAAATTTTGCCATTCTCCTAAAATACCTTTAATAAAGAATCAAATTAAGGACGAGAGGAAAGGGCGGTACAGGCGAGCATTTGGGCCTTACAGTAGTAAGCATTGGGGTGAGCCTGTGGCCATTGCTGATCAAAGTAGCGCCTACAATTAAATGATCATGGCGAGAAATGCTCTTTTCTTCTAGTCGTATTGCAATTTTGTGAAAATCATTCGAACGCGAGGCTTACCTACTAGTACACACAGCTTGAACGTAATGTCGAATCAAGGAAGTCGTCGCATGAAGCGATGCGCTAATCATCTTTTTAATGAAGAGATCTGGGGAGCGAGGCTTCGACGATTGTTGCTTTACCACGAAATGTACGCAGGTTATGCGGCGGGTGTTGGGTTCATGGAGCCCAAATGGTTCGCTCGGCGGCAATCGAACTTGCATTTATCGCTTCCCGAACGGGAGTTGAACCAGCATCTCTTGATTACACCACCAGAGCACCGTTTCATTATAGCTCGTTTTCATCGCTGTGACAAGAATACCATTGTAAGCTGAGTCAAAGTGAAACGACTGCCCTATCAGAACTCCCCGTAAGAGATAGCTACAGGTTCGATTCCCGCCTGGTGCGAAGTGTTCTTCCATACTCGGCCCTTGTGATAACATTCGTAAGGCGAATTGCGGCCAGAACAGCAGTCAACAGTTTGCCAGACGTTTGTCCCGGCGGCCCCCCCCCCCCCCCCCCTACTGCTGGTGAAAGGAAAGTACAGTGAGTACTTTGCGTGTGTTGAGGTGAGGTGTGTTGGTTCGGCGAAGAGTAGCCAGGTGCTGGCGAGTAATGTGGAATGCTGGCTTCTGGTTTCTCTCCATAAAAAACCTTTGCTGCGTTTTGACAGTCGATGACTCTTCGAGGGTTCATTGTCAGTAGCGGGGACAGAAGGTCGTCGAAAACGCTTCCCGTGGGCAATTGCCAGCTATATCTTTCTGTCGTCAATGCCTGGAATCTTTAGCAAGCTGAAGACTTTTAAAAAGGTTAGATTAGAAGTCACAAAATTCAGTATCTGAAGGATTTAGGGCAACGTGAGGAAGAAAGCAGTTAAGCGAAAGAACCGTTGTGGCCAAAACTTTAAGACCCAACTTATAGCCATCAGTCATTTTCGATCCTGTACTGTCATTCTTCCACTCTGCGTACAAGTTCTGCTACGTCAAGATGGGCATTTCACGTATCAAAACTCTACGATCGACTCTGAGAAATACCCGGAACTTACCTTACCCATCGAAGTAGGAATAGTTATGGGGTTCAAAGTGATTGAGATGGGAAAGAATTTCGCTCATTGTCCTCCTCACACCAGCGATTTATCTCCGCCCTGCGCCATTGAGATCGTGATGGATTCGTTGCTGCTAACCGCAACTCACACTTTTTTCTTTTTATCTGGATAAATGCAGTTTACATAGGTTTTTACTGCATTAGAGATGACCAATCCCTACCCTTTCTGTATATGAATACATACTATAATGAGGGCTAGTCTCTATTATGCCACGGTGTTGTCCGTCACGAAATTTGGTAGTTCCTGATGAACCATCACAGATCTAGGTCAAGTGCATTGGTCAAGAAGCACAACACTTACTACCTTAAGGTAGGAAAAGAGAAGGGCTTCGCCACAATGGGCGTGCGCGGCGCACCGAGACTCGGGTGCTTGCAGCGCAAAATTAGAATTCGGTCAGAGCCAAAGATCGGTAATGAAAAGAAAGGAAGGTAATATGGGAGTTCTAAGGCGATTAGGTGGCCCACCTTGGGTGGGCGTTTCCTAGAGTAGCTGTGCTCAATAAAAAAGGTCGCAACTATGTTAGGATAAATTTTATTGAGCGAAAAAATCAGTTCAGAGAAACAATATCTAAGATGTACCAAGCATACTTGAACTTGGCGTAAGCTCCGCCCATAGTGGGCGGAGCGTGAGACCATAATTCGGCAGTGTCTATTGCAAATCCTCATATGTCAGTCCAGAGAAGTCTCAAAAACCGGGGAAAAGTGAATAGAGGGTAAAAGAGGGAAGGTTAATGGTGGTGGTGGGAGTGGCATGTACCAAAGTGGGAGGAGCTTGGCACGAAACTTTATAATTCGGATCTGAGAGGTCCCAGAAAATGGGAAAAAAGTGGTTGAGGTTTGCGAAAGAGGAGAAGAGGGTCAAGTGCTATCGGGAGGTGGGCCAAGTTTGCTAGGAAACATTACAGAATTATCGATCACCGCAGTCCCGTGCGATGCACGCGAATGCGTGCGCAGCTAAATTGGCAAAGGACCGAAAGGTGAACTGCTAAGTGTCGGTCACTTCTTTTTGCTTGTGCCACACAATCATGTTCAATTCAGGGTTTCAATCAAGCGAACTCCTAAGTCGAGAAAATGTTAATGCGCGGTCTATGAGCAACTGAAAGACCATGTTATGTTATGTCTATCACATGTCGAGCGCGCATAATTAGCCATTAGGCGGGATATAAGGACAAAGGATTACATAAAGGACATAAAAGGACCCATCCTAATGCAAACGTACGACGACAACAATTGAAGCAAACAATAAGCAATAGAAGGATAATATGAAGGATGGTTCAAAAAATGGAAACGAGTAGCGTGTCAACGGAAACATGATTTTTCTTTAAAAAAATGGGTCAAAATCACAGGTGCTACATGCATGCTGCATAGCTTTGACCAGGGCAAGAGAGCCGCTGAAATCCACCTATCGTTGCGTCGCATCTCTCCAGAGAACATTCTGTTGCAAAATCAGTATCGCATATGGCTCTGGCGATTTCGAAGTGAGAAAGAGAGCTCGTCGTGCAGTGACCCGGTGGACGACGCTCTGAAGGAGGACCTCAGAGAAATTCCTTTCTTGCTTCAGGAGAACCGTATTCAGTAGATGATTAACAAATACTCCCGTGCTTTGGCAGAACGATTCGAGAAGCAGGGCAAGTACCGCAGCCAGGCTCTTCGACGACACGTCGGCCGTCGCATAAAGTTGTCCAGCAGAAGTACAGAAGAACTAGACTGTGTTGTGAACTCCATCGCATCCCAGTTTTATCCCGTTTGATTATCATTTGTATCCGGTCCACACAACACCTTCTCGGCAGGCGGAAAAAATAATGCAATTAAAGTCCAGATTTTGGGTGATCGGATCTTCGACTACATGACGACCGGTATTTCTTTGAGGATTTTGGAACCTATTGAAGAGTGCATGATCATTTTCTCATATTTGGCATGCTGCGGTAAAGGACGAAATTTGGCAAATTAACCTATTTTATTTACCTGATTTGACGGTTCATTCATCACATCTAATTATCTAGGGATAGGATCGGTTAATGATGCTCAATGAATACGACCATTTTCAGGCTATGCGGCTGCAGTGCGCAGATTAAGTTGGATGGCTGATGGGAAAATGAGTGATGTTTTGTCTCCTACAGCAAAGGCACTTTCCCGCGCTGCTGTGATAGCTCATAATGAGCGCGATGAAGGTTTGTTGATTCATCTGCCCTCCTGTTGTGTGTAATTCCGATGTTGAAACAATGCCTATAACTGATTCATTGCAGGATGTGTTCGTGCGATTCTGAGTGCGCTGTGGAATTTAGCTTCACATTCGGAACGCAATAAGCGCGCCATATGTGATGAACCAGGGTTTCTTGCCCTTCTCATCTCGTTGCTCTCAAATGACGCCAGAATGACGGTACAGCACATTTATTGACTTATTTCTGTTTTGTGCGAACTTATTACGTATTGACGTCTATACGATTTGATGTCACAGTTAAAGGAAAACTCGGGATAAAGAAGGTGTGGAAGAGCGTTCACCTATGAAGCTAGAGGTGGAGAGTGGTCTGGAAAAGAAAAGAAAGCAAGGAAACCCCCGATTACGCCCCGAATAAGGACCTCCTCTATTTCAGCCGCATTCCACCTTGGGATAGAGAAGGGGCGTGTTGGACGAGTTTCACGAGCTTAGCTCCAGTTGCTCCAGTGCCAATGACATTGAACCAATGGAACCGCTGCCGCAACTGCGCCCGCGCTTTTCAAGCAGCGCCACGTGGCAACCGACAGCGGAAGGCGGGGCTTGCGGACGAAGGTGTGGATTGCGGGTCGAGCGAGCTTCTAGCGCCTTTGTCGCGCACTTTCAAGCCGCAAAAGGGCGCGACATCAACGCTTGTCCGCCTGCCTACTACGCTCGGGTAGGTGAGGTGCCTAATCCAGGAGCGTGCCTTTAATGGCAATTGTCGATTCCGGCATGGAAGCGGAAACCTTTCATGTTCATGACGCGCCCTTTATAAAAATGGTAGCGCTGTAGGACAACGACCACATACCAAAATAGGGAATGTAGAGAAAATTCCTTTCACAGAAGAAATCTCCCGAATCATCCTGCTCTTCACGAGTAAAAAAGAGTTGTAGTGAAGTGGAACGCATTCTGTCGAGTTTGTTCGGGTGCCTCTTTTTTCGGTAGCAGTTTTGCTTTGCTTTATGTCCCAAAAAGGGTGTCCCGATCTTCACATCACACAAAAAATAATAGTTCTTGAGCGTTCCTTTGTGTGACCTCTAGTTTGGACTATTTTTGCTCCACATTCTTCATAAAAAAGTTTGAAGTGCTCAATTTTTAGCTACTTCTGGTAGTAGTTATCGTCTATTTTTTTCAGGCAGTCGTAGAGAGCGCTTCGGGTATTTTGAAGTATGTTTCACAATATTTGTCGACAAACTCTAGTCATCTAAGTGTGAGACCTGAATTGGCTGCTCATTTGGTGCAATTACTTAGCAGTGCCTCTTTCACTATTGTAGCGAACACACTCGGTGCACTTGCTAACCTGATTGCCAAAGATCCCCATTTGCAGGTTTGTTAGTTTGAATTGAATAAATGAATCGCTCTCTTGGATTAATTTGATTCTTTCAGTCTCTGGTTCGTCATGATGTAATGGGCATGAACCAGTTAAATGTGCTGCGCAACTCGGCACGTGAGGATATTCGTGCAGCTGTTAAAGCAGTGCTCAATCACCTCAATCAACCTGTGGGATATACACGCTATACAGGTGATCTCATAGTTACTCACTTCGAGATTTCTTTGAATGCTTCAGTATTCTCTCAGTTCTTTTTCCATATTTTGAACACACTTATTACTGTTCTTGAGCTTTAGAAATGTCGACGTCAATGGGGTGTGAATCCATGTGCTCTCCGCGTGACTCGCGTCTTCTGGCACTTCGTGGAGTTCGGATGTCTCCTGGTGCTGGAATGGGATATTGCGCTTCGCCTTCGTATCCTGATCATCGCTCTAGCAGTCTTCCAAGGCATTTTACCCGTGGTGGATACACGGGTCCAGCTCAGAAGTCAGTACTCGATTGTTATTCGAAGTAACAATAAATCATATTGTTGCTTAATGCGCAAAATTTAGCGCCCTCAGTCGTTTGCGGTGCGCCCGCCTGTCTCATCTGGACCTGCATACGGTTTTGCTCCACCACCAGGACAATACCATGGTCATCTCATTGATGAAGTAGTACCTGTTCAGGTAAGCATGGGTTTGGAGTAGGTATTCAATAATTCACCGTTGTTAAGGTGAATCATTGAAGAGCTACAGAAATGCACAAATATCTGAAGGATTAGTACATTTAGCACTTATGTTTGTTGATATCAGTTTCGCTAATCAGATGTTTTCAGCCATCTGTTGTGCCCGACGAGATCACAGGTGATCCTGATTTGAGCGATAGTGTTCGATGTACTCGAAGCGTCAGTGCTGCTTCATTAGGAAGCGAGTTACCGGTGAGTCTTTTCCCTTACTTTCTTCCATAATCCTTTTCCTTTTTGTCATAATTCTATCGTCTCCGTCCCTTTTCTCATACAACTTTCTTAGAATGCATCCATCGGTTGGCAAAGTTGCCTCGATACGGCTGCGAACAGCAATCGAATGTCGCCTGTGTCTCCATCAGATCTACCAGATTCTCCAACGCAATGTGCAAAAATGGTTGTGACAAAAGGTGTGCAAGTTTTCAAAGAACATGCCTGCTGTCGAGCAGTCGTCGTTTTTTTTCACCGTTGTTCTTTTTTCTTTCTGTTACAATTTCTGGACCTGCACATTCACGTGACTGCAGCGGCTGACTTGACGGGAAGATAAGAGAAAAATAAATAAGATATTGCGCTAAATAGCATGCTCTTCTTTAGGTGACACATCTACTCCACTCAGCGTGAGCGTTCGCGGTGGATCGGGAGCCGCTTCTTCAAGTGAACCGCAATCTGGTTTGACGGCTAGTGATACTGCAACAGCCATTGTTGATGACCAACCTACACCGACGTTTCCTGCATTCGTTCTTAATCCTCAACTTCCAGCTAGCAAATTAGTGTCACCGAAGCATGGAGAGAATACCGGTCGGTTTCTTATTTTACTTTGTTGCTTGTAATTGGTTATATCCCTTCTGGTGTTGTATGAACCCGTGTAAATGTACAATGGTGGATAGTAGAGATCGCTAATTATTTTTGAGGGTCATTGTGAAGCATCAGGTTCTAAATAGTGAGCCCAATACGTTCCCTTTTCTCCATCTCGGCGCTTGGCCGCATTTGAATGCAGAATCTGGGATCAACTGTGCTATTACGCTTGTAAGTGACAGTAGAGATGTGAAGAGTAAGGTCATGTATGAAAGAAACGGGAAGAAACCGTCAATAAAGGCGAAAATGAGGTTCTCTTCAATAGCGGCGAAGCGAATTTTGTATTGTTGAGGGGGTTAATTGACTTAGGGGGGGCCATGTGTGCAATCCGCTAACTTACCAGGAAGGTCTTTCAGGGCGTGACAAGCTTTTTGAAAACGGTCTTTTGCATGATATAGGGGCAGATGCGGGAACCACAGAACCATGTTCAATTTTTCCTGAACGGCCCTCTGAATACCAGAAAAGGAGGTCCCTAGTTCGATTCCTCGTGGTAACAAATTTTTGCATTTCGAGTTGACGTGCCAAAATTCGCGCAAAATGGAGTTAGAACCAACCAGAACAATCAGAACTCCATTTTGCGCGAATTTTGGAACGTCAACTCGAAATGCAAAAATTTGTCACCAAGAGGAATCGAACTAGAGGGACCCCTTTTCTGGTATTCAGAGGGCCGTTCAGGAAAAATTAAACATGGTTCTGTGGTTCCCGCATCTGCCCCTATATCATGCAAAAGACCGTTTTCAAAAAGCTTGTCACGCCCTGAAAGACCTTCCTGGTTAGGCAGCAGCCACCCTCCGTTATATTGTGTACACATGCTTTCCGCGGCCTGCGTACGACCGCAGTTTTTTTTTTCTGCGGTAAGACTGAATTTCAACCAGAATTTCTGGACCTTGCCTTTGAGAGCATAGAGTGATTGAAAATCATCCTAGGTGATCTTGTATAGTTCCGATATTTCCTGCTTCAGTTCAGACGTTATGCATGCCCACATAGACGTCCTATAAGAGCAACATGAACCGTAAAGTATTTCTATATTCAGGTGCTGCCTTTCCTGTATCTTCACTTGATGATGGACTTTATGCGATGATAGACGTGAATTGTGCTGATGGAAATGATCTACTGACAAGGTCCATCGAAGCCGAGTTGCCCCAACCGTCACCACGATCGGCAACGCCTAAATTACGCAAAGGGTATAGCCGACATTTCAAGTGGGCTCACGGACATTTGTCAAATTCGCAATGAAACATCGGTGACCTTGATCTGAGCAGCAAATATAACTTAGGGACCAAAATATTATACGTAGTTTATTGGCATCTAGGAATGAGATCTATTGAGACGAAAGCGGATGCCATATCAGCAAATTTCTTCTAACTTGATGTTCCGAGCCGCTCTGTGACAGCTCCGTGAACTAGATTCTAACCGTAAATGCGCAGCACAGAAGCGTGGAGGAGTTATGTTCGTGCGTTTCAGAAGATTGGCTGATGAGCGACTTCTTGCTGACATGATTGAATCTGCTCAGCCATCTCCGCGAAAGTCACGCCATGGTCCTGGTGATACACATCATTCGCCTAATGGTGAGTAGTAGTACTTTTATTAGCAAGTTTCCACTCCTCATTTCTGAAGTGCAGCAAATTTTCGACAGCTATACATTGTAAAATTCTTCTGAATGATTAATTTAAACGCGAAGATCGTCCTTACTGAGTGCGTGTATCGATCGGCAATGCGCAATCCATTCTCCATCGTTCAAAAGCAATTCAAAAAACGAGATGGGCGGACGCGACTGTTTTCCGGTGACCCACTGCGTCCGCCCTTCCCCGCTAATCGCAGGTCACCACGCCAGTGTGGAGGGTTTTGAAGAAGGTTCTGGAAGGTAACGCCAATTTTAGAATTGATTTTTGAATTGTATTAATTGATTTGCTTTCAGTACTGCCGCTAATCACACAGATCCAAATTCGCCGTCACGTGATTCTTCGGAAAGGTTGGTATTTTTTGTTGCAGTGGAACAATAGTGGATAAGCTTAATACTCCTTATTCCGCTGAGCTAATTGCAGTTGTTCCCGCGATAATCCGGACATGTGACACGGAAAGTATGGAGAAGCCCGACATCACCCTTCCCCTCGATTGCTTTATCGAAGAAGATAATATTACGATCGATTGTTCAAGAATAAGGTAAGCATGCTCATGGTCCATCCAGGCTGAATTTGTGGATCTTAGCTTTTTATTGTTGCCCCCACGTATGCCCGCCTTATTGCTTTTTCATTGCAGCTTTTCTTCACATGATCACTCATCGACGACTGGTGTCGTGAGTTCAACACAGTCGACTCCTGTCAAAGCAGCTAATCGCTCTGCTAGAACACATAAAACGAGATTGCCTAAGCCAACTCATGGTCGAACTTCTTCAGTGCAAGTAAGTCATAATGAACATAGCCTCGGTATATGTTACATTTTTTCATGCTTTTCTCAGCCTTGCTTCAGTTCCGATTTTGTAGGATCATTTGAAGTTTTCTTTCAGAAAATCAATCGTACCATCGCAGAACTCACTCCAAAGAAAGAAGCGAAATCAGCAGTTGTACCACCTTATAACTATAGGAGACCCGAGGTAAATGGTTTGTTACACTAAACAAGGCTGCAAAGGTTGCGGCTGTGATGAAGAGTAATAAATGAACATAGATTAAACATAGTTTTCACAAGAATTTGGGTGGACTTAAAGTCATGCGTTGGGATCGGATTGTAGTATTATTTTGTTCGAAAGTTAGGCAATAAGTGCGATGGGGAATATTAGGGAGGAGAAAAGCAAAAAGCGTTCCTGGAAGCACAGAAACTTCCTTGTGAGGTCGGCCCACGGAAGAGACAGAGCGCTGGAGAGAGAAACCGCGAGAGAGAAAAGCCACGAATACTGTGATTGATAAGGGCGGCAGCGGTGTCAACGGACAAGGCATCGCCTTAGCCCATTTGCTACATACTTCTGAATCGCGACAGTGTCGCGACTCTTGGGAACCCCTTTTCTCCCTGGAGGAGGGACTACATCTCGACACCTAAATGTGATCAAAACAGTTGAACAAGAAGTTGGCAAAATTCTTCGGGTAGGAATTAGATTCAGGCATTCCATTTTACAGTGATCCTGAATCGCTCGTCTCAAAAAGAATCATTGCCAGAAACTGTTTTCGGTTACATCTTCCTTGAAATGGAACTAAGAAGTTTCGGGTTGGACATTTTCCCCGAGTTTCCACTTCAAGAATCTTTATGTGATGTGGTTGAAGAAACATTTGCCATGACTAGTAGAATACTACCGGTCAAAAAAGGATATTTTTAAACCTGTGTTGTCGGTATGACGGCCTCAAGTAATCTCGTTCAAATCCGCACAAAATCATTACTGCCTATCTCAAAGCTTCTATACGATTCTACAAAAGGCAGAGACGCAGATGGATCAGCGGCGAGTCGGACAGTGCTCTGCGCTAGACTTTCTGCGTCTCTGCCTATTTGCGCGCGGGTGAAAAGCGACTGTCCTAATTGATTTTGTTTTGTATAAACGGAATATGAGAAATGAAAGCCATATAATACTGCTTTTTTTGAACAAAGATCGTCTATTTGATTCCGATTTTTGCAGTCGGACTCTGGAGTACACGAGACAGAGATCAAGAAGCAATCGAGTAAGGCGGTTAATCCGGGCCAAATGTTGGTAACCACAGTTTAAAAAGCAACTACTATTAGATTATTCATATATTTAATTTTTCGGTATTTTTTCATAGTAGTAGGTTTTTTCTCTATTTAGTCATAACGAGTATGTTTAACATGAATATCAGGTGCTATCGGCTAACTATTAAACTATCGCTCTTACTTTATTTATGTAGCATTGATATAAATATCCACATATTAAATATAATTTTATACGTGTTATAGGAATTACCAAGAAGTTAGGTGATAAATTCATTGCCGCACATGATTCGTTTAAATCTTTCAATATTTGTATGTATTTGCTGCATTCTTTGCTCTTCTTGTCCCTTTCAGCTCACATTTTGCTATGAATACGAGTTTTGGCATTTTTTACATGTTTCTTAGAAGGAATGAATATTTCTCGCTTAGTATTTGATGTGTGAAGAAAAAGATTGTTCTAGATTATTTATGAGGATGAGATCAATGATACCCATAGTTAAGGCACGAATAACAGACAACGATAGTGGTGTTGACTACGATGGAGCAGGGTTGAGCGAAAAGTAAAATAATACAACAAAATATTTTGGAAATATGGAGTTGGGCATGAGATCGGATCCATTTCAATCTGCTAGATGGTCTTGAGATGTCCGTCAGACTCGACGATTGTGCCGAGCGATGGGCGATCGCGATTGGCACGATCGCCAAGTCTGACGGACATTCTGCGGAACCAGATGACCTGCGGTGAGATATCCTCCAAAAGTCGCCATTCCGACAGGGTCTGGCTAGATTGAAAACTTCAAACGTATAGATTGGGTCTATTCCTCGTCATCATAAGTGTGATGAGGAAGCGACGGAATGAGCACAAGCAGCACAAAGGTGATGATCGTGGTTGCCACGAAGAAGATCCAGAACAGCAGTCGATCGATAACCTGGAAAAAATGTAGGATTATATGGTTTTGTTGAATATACATCAAAGCTGACCGCTCGTTGGGAAAGTCCCAAAGTGAGGTTCTAAATGTGATTTTTGCTGGGAATATTTGAGATTCTTAGAGGGAGGTTAGTGGAGGTTTAAGTGGTAGCGCTTGGGCGGGTCCCTTCCAAATCAGGGGCTCCCTTCACATTTTTTAACGGGAAAAATGTTGAAATGGATGGAAATGTGAAGAATATTTCAGTTGTGCAATATACCCATACCTCCTCAGTGGAGGGACGGGGGAACTGGTAATGAGGGGGTGTCCTTCAACAGGCCTACCGCGCGGCAAAGGAAGAGACGCAGACGCGGCAAAAAGGCACGAGTCGACGCATAACGTAGCGTTCAGGCGTCAAGTTTAAAGGTGCTGTGTCGCGTTTCCTCCTGGGGTCAGGCTGCCGCCGCACGCGGCGATCGGGCTCGTCGCGTGTGCGGCGATTCTGCGATGTGGAGGTTTTTACTAGTCCATGCTGTTGTCCACCGTTGCAGCCTTCACATTTGATTGTCAAGTGACGAGGTGGCTTGTCCCAAGCACAGTAAGGCTCTTCCACTTTGATGTCTCCCATGGACATGAGCGCCAGAAATTAAGTTTGGAAATTAAGAAACGCTGCGGAGAACATTGGAACTTTCTGAAACAGTCTGAGTGAACGAACCATAGTAAACTGCGTATTAACGTCATGTAGAATGGGCGTCATGTGAAAACATATCGCCATACTGCATGATCTACTCTCTTTCACGCCATTGGGGAGAAGGGGGTCAGTCAAATTAAACAGGTCACTCAAACAGCGCCTAAGTTGCTCATTCGGCAGTAACGAATCGATAAAATTAACGAACTTTCACTCCAACAGCCAAAAGAGTGGAAGAGGGCTAAAACCATATTGTTTCCACAGCTAATAAATCACACCGCCACATCCAACCACCACAGCCTTCGCCGCGTCGATCGCCGCGTGCGACGGCGCGGCGGCGGCCCCAGGAGGACAAACGCCCGTCTCCCAAGTTAAAGAGAGTGCACAATACTACGTCTCATATCGCACAGCACGCGTCTCTTGCCGCATATGCGTCTCTTGCTTCGCCGCGCGGTGGCCTCTTGAGGGACACCCGGAATGAGTGAGGTGATGGCAGGTTCTCAATTACAATATGTAGATAGTCCGTAGAGGGGGAGGGGAGAGCAATCGTTTGGGACTTACGCTAGGGGAAATCATCCTGATTTCAAATTTTTTTCACTTCACTCCGGCCTGTGCGGGTCTTGGAAGCCTGGACTGAGGGAACGAGACGTTCTTTAAGCCTTTAGGAATTCATCTTTTGAGGTCCTCGTGCTTGCGGTTTTCCAATTATTCCTCATGGCGCTGTTTACTAGTTTTGGGCTGTATGGAGTAATTCGAGAAACTTGGGCGCATTCTTTTCTAGCCACTCCTCCACCCACCTCCCCCTCCCTTGGGCTCCATCTCCAATTTTTTGAGTTTCAGTTTTGATTACCTGCGCCACATGCCTCCACTCGTTAGCCATTCGTTCGCTTGCATCCTCGTTTTCCTGCCTCTTGATCAAAATCTGAAAATGAGGAAGTACATTCCTCACGACTTCTGAGTTTTTGGGAATGGAGTCTTTGAGCCAGCGGAAACAACGAAATAAAGGTAATAATAAAATAGCAGAAATAAAATTCATTAATAAAAAATGGAAACTGCAGGAAAACCATTCAATCATCGAAATATTAAAAGGATGGGAAGGAGAACCCATCGGAGGAAATGTTGACAACAAAGCTTAAAAAGCAAAGGAGTCACTCGCTTGACTGACCTGTAAAGTTCTGAGCAGTTTCACTTGCAGATCGTCTCCGGCTCGCGGTCGTTTCCGGGTGACACCATTCTGGTCTACAGCGATCTCAGTGTGTGGCACGTCAAGCAGAAGCGACTCGAGGCGTTCGACTCTTGTCGGCTGAAATTTTATGGATAATCAAAATAATTAGGTATGTCCTTGAAAATAGGGTAGGTGCACACACTTCATTGACTCCATTCCCGCCGTTCAGCAAGTCTGGGCCCATCTCGTTCATGATCTGAAATTGGAAAGACAGCCTGAACAGAAATTACCTTACAACCAATGGTCTTCTTGAAGATAGCTGGGAAGAAAAACAATGAAAGCCGCCTTTTCAGAAAACATGATCAGGACAATGACAGAGTTGAAAATAAGGAGAAGGGAGGATTGATGGTTAAAGGGAACTCCGGATTTGAACTGAGTTGATCAGCGCTCTGTAGAGATACCTTAGCTGCGGAACGACTTGAAAATGGGAAGGAAAGCAAGAGAAATCTTTGCGAACGCTGAAATTAAGGTCTTACCCTTTAACAGGGTCGGATGTGGTACGATGCGAGAAAGGGCGGTCAAAGAAGACAAAATACGCGAGAGAGCACGTCGTTTGAGAGAGCACGCTGATCTCACCACCTCTCGCGGTGGGTGGGAAGCGTTGGAATTGGGTCGATGGTTGCAGGCCCGTAAGGAATAGCGCCCTAACCGCGCAATTTTTGCGACGAAGCTGGAGTGATCTAGGTAGGTTACAGACCTTAGCAATTCCCTAGTGTTATCTCTCCTACCCAGACGGCGCTAAGCATAGGGTTTGTCTTTATATACTCCTTTTTCACTCCACCGTAATGACTGCGCACTCGCGGCGTTAGCAGCGAAGGGGATGAGGTTTGGCATGTGCAATGGATTGTGCAGGCCAAACAATGTCAAAATGTTTTGCAGGAGACGATAGCATCGTCCTTTCAGGTTACTAGGATTTCGGATAAAGTGGATAATAACATAGTACTCACATCATTCTTCATGTCATCCATCGCAACGCGCACTGATGTTCGCCTCATAATACTGTTCGAGCAGACGGACATCCTCGAAGAGTCGCCTAAAATACGAAGCTTAACAAGTTTCCATCGGCGGGAAGTATGTATGAAGTGGCAACGACGCGCGGCCTCTGAGGATCACATCGGGAACTAAACCCACTAGGCTCAACTTGCTCTATAAACAACAACTGAAACCGTAGAAATTCCCCAATTACGAAAAAATGAACTGAAGTTCCCATTTGCATCATTTTTTTGGAGACAATTCACCACTTAAGCAGCCCCTGCAGCCCACCCCCCTTCCTTCTTTCCAGCAGAGCAATGTACTGCCGACTTCGAGGCGTGAGTCGTATCTGTCTGAGGAATTTTGACCTTTCTAGTGGAATTATTTATAACAGACCCATTTGAATGATGGCCGAGGTTACGGGTATAATGGTTTACTTCCGCTGTTTATTCAATTTCATTTGCTGGTTACGTTATTTTGTTTGCAGAAAAGAAGTAGCGCGTGAGATTTCCAGGGAGGATGGACTATTGAAAAGAGGAAACCTCATAAAGCTGGTTTGATCTAGCTACATTTTGCTTGGGACGGAAAAGCACACCTTACGGAGAGTGCAGCTGGATCGATCTACTTGGTGGTTGGGGTAGAGCTTTCCGCTGAAGTGGCGAATGTGCTACTTTTCAGGTTCAAAGATATGTGACAAGGGCGCTAGGGTATCGCAGAGACCCCTTCGAGCGGTCGCAGTTTTTTCTGCACCACCTCTTCCATTGCGCCTTTTACCGATCCTCTCTTCTCCTCGTTCAGGGTCTCTTTGTCTTAGCACAGCCGAATCACAAAAATTGGGAAGCGCTTAATTTGAAAGTTTTCGTTGAATTTTTTCCTTTTTTCTTTCACTACCGGTCCACTCGCACCGCGTTTTCATTTGGTGTGCTGGAATCACCTCAGTCTGATCGTGAGATGGGTCCTTAACTGGCTGATCGGCAAGAAGAAACCCAGTGAAACCTTTGGAAAACTATCCGGGGGATCAAATCCTCCAAGACGTTTTCTTTTTATGGCGCCCGTATGTTTTTTGCTGCTGCCTTAGAATTTTGAAGGGTTACAAACAGCGAAGTATAAACTAGTCAAAATAAACGTGCACCATTCACCAGGAATTGGTGTGACTTTAATAATTTTTGGCGCTCATGTTCTTAGGGGGACATTCAAAGGGCCGATGGTAGGTGACACTGAGACTAAGCCCAGGAGAGTGGAGAAACGCCAGGGAGAACAAGATTGCT